GGTAGAGCACGTCCAGGTTTCCTCTCTAGTACCACACACACAAAAACACCTCAAACGCAATCTGCTCAGCATGAGCTGGACAGGAGTTGGGGCAGGTTAACCCAGTGCAGTCAGTGGCGGACAGGGATGAGGACGGTTGCTGGCCTGGCCTTGTGCAGCCTCAGAAGGTCACAGGCCTCAGAAATGCACGGGCTGTAGAAGGCACTAAGGGGTCTCTCACAGCAGGCGGGCTGCATTGCTGCTCTCCTGACCCAGCCCAGAAGTCACATAGCATCGCTTCACCCATGCTGGGGTCCGAATAGTTGCAAGAACCCACCCAGTGCCAAGGGGAGGAGACAGACACTAGCCCTGGATGGGGGTCACTTGAGAGCACACTGCAGAAAGGGCCCGTGGCAGGGACACAGGTTAGCTGTGTGTGGGGACTGTGAAGCCCCGTGAGGGTTCACTCTGAGAGGGACACAGCTCCGTGTCCACACAAAAGGCCTGGGCACTGCTCAGGCTCGGGCTGCTTGGTGGCAGAGGCTGACAGAGACCACAGGCTGGGTCTCCAGGCCAGACAGCATCCATGCTGATGGCACCTGGCCGCGGCTGGGGAGGAAGTGGGAGCCCAGGGCTGTGGAGTTCTCGTTGCTGTGGAGCCGTCCTCCTGCGTCCTGTGGCCTTAACACTGCCCTGCTCCAGCCCCTCCTCCAGGGCTCCTGGGAGTCCACAGGCATCATCCTTCTCCCCCAGCGAGCCTAGCTGGGGTTAGAGTTATTTCATGCCCTGTCCCCTGACATCAGCTCATTGGCGAGTCCTGCGGCTCTGCCCCTGGCCTCAGCTCCTCCCACTACCCAGGAGTAGAGCCCAAGTGCTTCCACAGCTGGGCACATAGCAGCGCTCATCTGCTACATCACCCTCTGGCTCTGGATGAAGTCTACTCTGCTAAAACAAACAAACAAACATACAACTTTCTCTTCTCCTTTTTGGTGGAGGGATACAGGTCTCACTAATGTAGCCCAGCCTGGCCACAAACTCCTGGACTCAAGCAATCCTCCTGCCTCAACCTCTCAAGGGCTGGTACTACAGACACATGTCATTGCCTCTGCTGATACCTTATTATTTATTTTTAATTAATTCTGTTTATTTTTTATTTTTTGGGTACCGGGAATCAAACTCAGGACCTTGCAGACCTTGCACCTGCCTGGCAGGTGCTTATACCACTGAGCTATATCCCTGGTCCCTCTTATTATTTATTTTGAGATAGCATCTCACTGTGTAGCTCAGGGTGGCCTTGAACTTACTGTGTAGCCTACGCTGGCCTCAAACTCATGCCAATGCTCCTGCCTCAGCCTCTTGAGTGCTGGGATGACAGGTGTGCAACACCAGGCCCAGCTCTGACTGTACCTTACAATCAAATGACAACAATGATTCTCCCATGAAGATACAGAGCTGGGTCAGACAGAGCTATTCTGTTTGTGCTCTACTTACCTGTGAGAGTTTGAGTTTACAAAGATGGCTGAAGGAGGGTAAGGAGAAGTCAGTGCCATTGAAGTTTTTAGTTACTTACACTTGCTGCCAGTTGGGTGCCTGCCATGGCACACCCTGGCCCGGGGTTTTGTCACACAGAAAAGCACCAGGCCTTGGTCAGGAGGCAGAGGAAGCATGAGCAAGCCAGGGCCCTTGCTAGGTCCCCATCGGAAAGGCAGGCAGAGTACACACAATGGCAGTTTGGACAATTCCAGTGTCCCAGCTGTGCGGGGGCTGCCTTGGTTGCCTGTTCCCGGCTCTGGATGGGTTAGGCAGGGAATCAGCTGGGCCGAGGTACACCAGGATCCCCTGCATTCCTGGAAGCTGAGGGGTCAGCCCAGGGCCAGCCACAGCCCCATGACGGGAAGTCCAAAAGATGGCAGAGTGGTAAGCAGCAGAGAAAGAGCCTCCTGACTGTTGCCATCCAGACGCTGGAATATAGCAACTCAGGGAAGATAAGGAGAGAGGTGAGTCCCCTGGACCCCGGAGGGAACTGAGGCATGAGCTGAAGCCCACAGAGAGTGCAGAGAGAAACTTCAGTGAAGAAGGAGGTATCCAATGACGCCTTCTCCCTGAGACGTGACACCCAGCAACAAGGAGCAATTTAGACCTGCGGACACGTGGAGAGTGCGGGCGAGGGCTGGGGATTTAGCTCAGCGGCACAGTGCCTGCCTGGCAAGCGGGAGGTCGTGAGTTTGATTCCTGGTACCGGAAAACAAAACAAACAAACAAACAGAGTGTGCGCGATCCCAAAGGCCTCCGTGCAGAGACGCAGCACTGGAGGGGAGCAGCGGGCGTGAAGGACTGCACTAGCTGTCGGTGAGTGCTGAGGGCTCGGTCATCCTGTGTGAAACACACTGACTGGGAACCGTTTTGGAGAGGGGCGGGCTGAGCTCAGAACTCAGAGCCACTGCCGGCTCCATGTAGTGGCTCCCAGCTGGGCTCAGGCCCACTGCAGGGGCTCAGGCCCACTGCAGGTGCGATGAGGAAGGGGCACTGCGGCTGCAGGTGCCAGAACGTACAGGCTCGCAGAGATGACCCACCAAAAGTTACTGCTGGCTTGCTGGGGTAGGTCAACAGGGATCGGGACTCTGCGTCCACATGTTGTCTGCCAGTGAGAGCACAGACAAACCTGGAAGTGGACTTCTCTCTCTCTGTCTTTTGTAGTTTTCTTTTTGTTCTTTTTCTCCGTCGTTGTTTGAACTTGTTTTTATACGGGTGTGAATGTAGCATCTAACCTCTTGTGGTTGTGGTCCTGTTCTGCTCTTCTTTTTTTTTTTTTTTTGGTACCAGGAATCGAACTGAAGACCTTGTGCTTGCCAAGCAGGCGCTTCTGCCGCCAAGCTATATCCCCAGCTATTCTTTTTCACTCTTCCTTCTCTCTTTCCCTCCAGTCTTCTGCACCAGTTTTGCAAAGTTAGCAACGACCCCCCTTGTCCTGCAGCCTTACTTCTAACGTCTTCCTCTTCTCTATTTTCTCCCTAACCCATTTTAAATTTTAAACCCTGAGAGCAAAACTGACATATTAAGCACTTGCATACAGCATACAATTTTCTGGTTTGTTTTAGATTTTGTCATATAACTACAAATCTACGGGTAAAGCTGGCAAATTAATAGTTACTTCATTTTGTCACTTTCTAGGCTGTGTTTTATGCTATTGTCATTGGTACCATTATAGCCAAAAGAGACATAATTGTTCTAAACAGTTGTTCTTCCTGGTGCTCCAAGACTAGGAAGTAGTCATTTCCTAAGGGTTCTAACTACTAGCAGTAAAGCAACCCATGACAGGCAATTTACAAAATCACCCCAGGAATTAAACTAAGAAAGAAAACAAAATGAGAAGACACTTAAACAAGACGCAGCCCCAGACATCCAGCTCACCAAAGGAAAACACGGTGGCAGGGAGGTGGGACAACCTGAAAGCCACTTACCTGGCTTTTTTTTTTTTTTTTTTT